TAATTGCACCATCAAGTCCTTCTAACTTTGCCAACTCCACAATCAGATCCCCGCCATCACCAAGCCCCTAATCAGGTCAACATACAGTGTCAGACGATAAATACTTAATTATTAATATTCCGATCGACTGCAGAATCGAAAGATCATTCAACACCTTCAATAATATATGTAAAATAATTCTCAAATGTTGGGTTGGAGAAACAGCATAAATGGTGTATATATGTGGCGGCATCCATAGCAAAAGTCAAAATCATTTAATGATGAAAAATCCAACACATAAAGTTATTTGTGGACCTATATGCTCTTGAGTTGTACGTAATGGTATGGTAGAGTATAGCTGTTTTCTTTTTGTTGGTCTTCTATGTATAATAAATGTAATGTATTGATAAAAGAAGTCAATAATTGTATGCTAATTAATATGCGTTTTGACTTTTGACTATACTTAATAACTTGGAGCAATTCGGGGTAAGAAATTGGGATTGAGTCTCAATTCCAAGATTAGATAATATTTTAATAAAATAATATTTTCAAAGAGCTATTAAGATTTTATTATTACGAGGACTTGGTTTAGGGTTTTGTAATGTATACTTATTAAAGTGGCATGAACCAAAATATTTTATATAAAATCATATTTATAAAATAAATTTAATAAATGATTCATTATGTCCATCTTCTCTCATATATTTTTATTATTAAAAATGACCAGTCTTAAGATGAATATCAGAGGTGTTAGTATCAATGTCAAATAATTAAATGATATTTTTAAACAAATATTATATTTTACTTATCGCATATTAATCAATACACACATGAGAAAAAGGAGGGGGTTGAAAGTGGGTAAGAATAATAATGAATTAATTGTAAATAGCAACTGGTACAAAACGAAAGGAAAGGAGTTAAATTGCATGAATATACCATCCTGTTGTGACAATATGACTTAACAAATGGGCCCTCCCTCCCACATTTTCATTCAAAAAAAAAAACTCCTCGAGCTACTCAATCACTGCAACAAATTTTCATTTATGAAACAAAAAAACCTTTCATCCAAGTGCAGCAGAGAGAGAGAGAGAGAGATGAAAACAAGGAGCGTCAAACATGGCGTCCACGAAGGGTCACATCCTATGAATCCTATGGTAGGCAGCGTCTCCAGTGGTCGACATCAACCCAACTTGATGTTCGATGCATGTAAACAAAGAATAATGAATGATAGCGTAATGATGATAAAATTATTATTTTGACATTCTGTACACCCTCTTTTCTCAATATATCTCTTTGCATAATACGACAGTGCTGTGCGCAGTGAGTTGCTGGCTTTCATTTATGAATGAATGAATGAGATGAATTCACTGATCACTGAGTCTGACTCACTCTCTTGACCCCTACTGCTGTGTGGGGGTGTTTTTTCTTTTAGTAGCTCAAGGCTTTTTAGCCTAAGTCTTTGTCTATCGTCGTTTACTTGTTCCACTGCTGCACTGCTTTTTTTGCTTACTTCTCTCTGTTTGTACAATTCCTCCTCAATAAGCAATTTGATTTTGATATATCATTTCTTTTTTTATTTAATTTCATGTATTTTCAAGGCTTTAAATTTATGAAATGTCCCCATACCCCCTCTCTTTAATATGTAATTGTTTTTCCTTTTAAAATCTTATCAACGTTTCATTAAATTTGTAGTACTATTCGTCTAGGGCATTGGGTAATGGTTATCTACTATCCTATATGCATTAGTAGGCCAAAAAGTGTGGTTAATGTCTTTGGTCAATTTGATACTTTTAATACTTAGGTACCGGTTAGAGAGTATGAACGGAAATAAAATTTTATGTTACTCGAATTTACTATCTTAAAAAACAACACTCTTTTTAACTACGAGATTCGTGCAATAAATTCGAGTCCACCTAAGACTAAAATGTATAATACTTAATAGTAAAAAAATGGCGAAGGGAGAGAGGTGCAATGATGAAGGCAATAATTGCTAAAAAGCTACCATGCAGAGAGGAGAGTCCATAAAAATTGCGACGAGGCAGCATCACAATCGTCAAGTTCCTAAGGAAGACAGCCGGTTCTTCCTTCCTGTCCATTTATAAAGTTGTAAGGACACTTCACGCGCCGCCGGTGAGTGGTCCATTCTCCGGTTTATATGTTGTCCCTTATGACTTTGAAAAAGAAAAACCCACAAATTTCTTATTTTTAAGTAAAATTATTTCCCCCATGAAATCAAATACTCACACGTTCATGCAAAATCCACAAGTTAAAGCTAAATTCCATGCTACGCAGCTACTGGAATGACATCCATGCAAAAACAAGGTTTAATTTAAAATTAGGTATTCTGAAAACATTATATTATTTTTTTATGTAGGTATTTCTATTTATAAATCCATTTTTAATTAAAAAATATCTAGTATATGTTATCTTTTTGTATAGATACATGAAATTAGCATATGATAATAATTAAATAAAGGAAAAGTTATTCTTACACCCATGACGAGAGATGGATGGAGAGGACGAAAGAAGTAGTAAATTTTTAAATTCTCTTATATTTTAGATTTTTTATATATCTTTTTATTAATAATATATTTTTTTAATTTTTTTATTAAATCACTTTTTCACATAAAATTATCGTCTGTTGCTGCCCACAGCCTTCCTTTTTTTTTACTTTTCATCAAATCACTTTACCTTCACCCGTATGTGCTAAATCTTAAAGTCTTCAACTAACCTAAAAAGAATGGTTAAAAATCAGACCAGATCAGATCGATTAATTGAATTTATTTCGTTTAAAGTAAAAATAATAGCTACTAAAATCAGACCAAATCAATTAATTGAATCATGAATCAATGATTTAATTGATTAAACTCTACGAAAAAACCAACAATTTTTTTAGTCAACTCGATTTTTGGTTTGAAATTATGTTTAATTATCTTCTTCTTTTTTTCATTTATTTTTCTTCATTTAAAGCTCATTTTGACCAAATTTGAACCACATGCTCTTCAACCAAGGTATAATACATATTTAACATTAATTCATATACTTTTACCATAAATTTCTTCTTTTTGCAATTTAGTCCCTCAATTTTACACAAGTTCATTGTTTCTTAAATTTATCTTTCATTTTAAGTTTATTTTTTTTAATCAAACTAGAACTACATGCTCATCTACCATGGTAAAATATTTATTAACTTATATGGCTCTTTTTGACAACATTTTTTATTTTATAATTTAGTCAATCAAGTTTATGTTTATTCAATTTAGTCCTCCAATTGCAACGCTTTGTAATCCCCCACCCCATCAATTTCTTGGTTTCTTTATATTCTCATCAACACTATTTTTTTTCTCAAAAAACATTTTTTTGAAAAATAATATTATAAATCTTACTTACACGTACAAAAAAGAATATATATATCTTGTATTTTTAGGGAGAGTTGTTTAAATTAGAACAAATTAATATTATGACATTATAAATAATTATATTTCAATTTCAATAAAACTTGAATAAATATATTCGACTCGACTCGAAAACATTTAAAATAAAATTTAAATGATAAAATTATACTTGTAAACTCCACTAATTCAATCTTCTCCCACTCGAGTTAATGAGCTCGAAAGGGCCTTGTTCCCCTTTAAAAATGGCAATTTTTCAATTTTAGTCTCTTTAAATTCTAAAGTTTAATGTTAGATAATGATAAACTTATATTATGCCCTATAAATGATAAAATTTAATTTAAAATTATTTTAAAAAATAATAAAATTATAAGCTAAAAACGATAAAAAAGAAAATTAACCTTTTAAAAGTTTATCGCATGGCAAAGTTGCTACTCATGAAGCACTCATGGTTTTAGTAAGGAATTGTTATTCCTATTGGACATATATATATATATATATATTATCAAAGCGATGGGCATATATGACCTAACTTTCCACCTTCAAGCTATTGCACAAGGCATTTCTAGCTTTAGGGATTGCCAAATCATGGAGGAGATTGGAGACTAATATCATCCTTTTGTGGACCAATTGTCGTCTCAATTTTGTTTTTTTCTCCCAAAGAGAGGATTTTGGCTGGATAAAGCTAGCTAACGTTAGAAACATGGGCCATGCAATAATAATAAGGTACGAACTTAAGAATTTACGTTAGAGGTAAATTTTTATATTTTAAGGAGATAGATTTATAAAATTTTAGGGACGAAAATATAGTATTAATTTAAAACGACTAAAATATATGAGAATTTGGAATTTTCAGAGATTATCCCACGAGCCCCCTCAATCCCTCCCTAAATGCAATCTTCACAAAATATTCCCTTCTTCACAGAGATCATATGAAAGCTAACAAAAACCAAATTAAAAGAGGGATAAACAATCCTATCATGTGATATAAAAGAACTAATTGAAAATTGATTTCTTTACCTTTTGCTTTTGACTATAACTTTTATAAGCTTTGATGAATATGTGATCTTTTAAGAAAGGGAATTGAAAGCTTTAACTTTTGAAAACACACTTTCCTTTTTGTATTTTACCCCAGTAATTTTAATATTGGGTAATAATTATACCTTTATGCATACAAAGATTTCATAGCTCATATTCTTCAAAGCCTTTTAGTATTCTCCTTTGATTTTCCTTTTAATCCCAAAGTGTAAAGCATGTGAAAATGCCTAGGAATTATGAAAAAAGAATGTAAAGTGGTCCATTACAATTACCAAGGGATCACTTCATACTTGAAAAGTCACTCACTCACTCGCCCACTTTCCCCTCTTATTTCCTTCTCTTCATATTTACTTAGTAACATAATTTTGGGGATAATTTTCACCCCAGTCCCCATTTCTTCTTTTGTTGCTTTATGTCATTTTCTTGTCTCCTTCTCTACCTTTTGTTCTTGAATATATATTTTTTCTGAAAGGGTACCAGATTCTGTTCACCAGCTTCAGAGATTATAATCATTTCAAAATTAGTAGTAGTGTACACACACAAAGATATAAAAATAATCATTTTTTTAATATAAATCCATTTTCCCTTCACTTTTTTTTATATCAATGTGGCAGTACCCCCAAGGTGAATTCCAAATTAGGCTTCTTGGGGCTTGTCCCTGATAGGCTTGATGAGCTTCCATCTGATAGTCTCTCATGGCTTAAGCACTTTGGATCCATATCCTTCTGCAACTAAAAACATAAAGCAAAGCAATGAATATTACTACTGCCTAGCTTATTACCACCTTTCATCAAGCAGTTGAACTTGTGCATGGCTGAATGAAGAAAGGAGAGCAAAAAGAAAGTTATTTGGTTCATAGCTATATATATAAAAAGAAAGAAGAAAGGGTTTGGAATTAGTACCTGGAGAGATGGTACGTTTCCAGCAGAATCCTTATGTTTCCCATGCAACCAAGCTTCCCTGCAGAGGGAAAACAAAAAAGAAAACTTTTAAAGACCAATACACTGAGATAAAATAAAAGCAAACTGAGGCTATCTTTTACTGTCTTGTTTATGTTAATAGTAATAGTATTGTTGCTTCACACGATTCGAACGAATCATCGAAACGATTGAATCGTGTAGACAACTGAAAAAGAAAAGTTTGCATGTAATGTAACCTGTTTGAATTTGCATGCATGTGATAGTGGGGAGAGAGGGAGAATATTAGTAGGTTCTTTTTAGTTTTGATTTTTATTACAAACATTATTAATATTCATGAACTAGAAACAAAAGGTCCAAGGAAAGGAAAATAAACTGTTTGTCTGTTCTTGTCAAACAAAGGGACTGACAAGTTTCTAAGATTTGTCAAACCAAAACAACACAAAACAAGAATCAACTCTGTTGAAGAATATTAATGCAATTGCAAAACGACCAAACAAAGGGAAACAACATGATAAACTGAACTCGGACTAAAATTTTCAGGGGGGGGAACAGAAAATTTTCTGACTACCCAAACAGTGGAATGCTTATACAATATAAAGGAAGGGAAATACACATATCAATACTAACCTTGATGAATTGCTCCACAGACCATGGTATTCCTTCTCTTGATGAGCACTCGATGATGATGATGATCTTCCTTGCTGAACTGATATATCCGTTCTCCTTGGGTTTTGAATGTCAATCATCAAATCTTCGGAAGTATCCCCAGACGATCCATTCTCAAATGCATCTGATTGTCCTGTTTAAATTAAAAGAATTTATCTTTATTTGAAACCCCCAAGTTTAAGTTTAATGAGAATCGAAAAGATAGGTTTAAGCACTATTCTCGAGACCAGTGGGAACAATGGGCTCCAAAAAGGCTGCTGAAAATTTCTGGCTATTAGAACAGCTTTGGAAGTGTGTCAGGAAATGAAAAGCCGAAGTGTCAATGGTTTTGGTCATCGAATCAGGCCAAAAAAAAAGTTGAATTAATCAAGCAGTGTCGAAAATAGAAATTGTATACTTCTTGAAGATGGAAGAAACTGGCAAAGTGCAATTACATAAATGTAGTTCGAGGGGAAATGTGTTTGCAGAATCAACATGATGAAGAAACATTGCATACTTACCAGAAGTTGCAGCTGCTCTGTCTGTGGTCTTCACAGTTCGATACATCTGCAAGATAATTAGCTTGTTAAGGAGTAAACAAGATGAATGCATTAGAGTAGGCTGAAGAAGAGTATGATAATCAAACAAAATCAATTTAGCATAATTTATATCCCTTTTTTGTAGCTTATATATAAAAAGAATAAATAAAGTTAAAAACCAGGAAGTAGACCAATAATAACTGTTCTTTGTGTGCAACACAGTGCATGCAAGTACTAACTGTTAAAAAGAAAGGGATATACATACATACATACATAAATATAGTTTTCCCCAAAGGCTTAAGTTTTTTTTTTTTTATGAAGTTTAATTTTACATAAACTTTGAAGACGAGAAATGTCGAAAATGAGGGTTTAACTGTGCTTAAGAAGATATGTAGATTATAGAGGCTAGAAGAAATTTTATCATTGTAAAATGATTGTGCTGTTGTACTTGAATTTGTTTATATCTCCTTTTCTCTTTCTCTCTCTTTTTTTCTCTCAGCTCAGTATTTAGAGAAAAGAAATGGGAATGGAACTGCGCTTGTAGTAAGAAAAGGAGAAACCCAAGGTTGAAGATAACTTAAAAGTGAAGATTTGAAGATTATGAACAGATGAAAGCCTGCAAGTAGAAAAAGCCAGAAATTATATGAAGAAAAAGGGTTAGCATAATTATTTACCTGAAGATGGGATTTAACATGTGCTAAGGTAAGATCTTTGACATCCATTAGCTCAAGAACTGACTTGGGTGTAGCTCCTAAGACAGCCCCACAAAGAATACAGAATAAAATCAAATGAAGCAATGGTGAAAACAAAAGGAAAAAAGGGGCTGAAAAGTGAACAGTAGAGGGAAGAAAAAGAAGAAGATTAAACGAGAGATGAAGGGAACATACTTTCGTGACCACCTAATAACTCGACAGCATGAACAAAGCGAGCGTGGAGTGTACTAGTCCACCGCATCCTAGGAGCTCTTATGCTTCGTTTGGCCGGAAACCTCGACATGAATCTCGATCTCATCAACCCTTGAGACTGGAAGGGGGTGAAGCTGGTGCTACTAGTGTTAATGTTATTACTAACCAAACATGATTCCAAAGGTTGTTGAGCAAATGGAAAATGAGAAGGAGGGTTTTGGTAGACGGGAATTCCTCTTATGGGTCTCAAGAAACCAAGCTCTTGTTCCAGCCCTTGCTGCTGCTGCTGCTGCTGCTGATACAGTAGCGGATGTTGCAGATGCTTGTGAGGATAAGTTTGGAATTGGTTTTGATGATAAGCATGGAAAAGATTACCATTGCAACTGGCGCTACAGTTTTGGAGAAGCTGAAGGTGGTTGGAGTTGGACTCTGAAATTCTCGTATTGGACAAAGATAGGTCGAAAAAGTTATCAGGTTTCGCCATTGAAGCTATGGAGTTCCTCGAGTCGAGGGATCTCTTCCAAAAACCCAAATCCAAATCTTCCTCCGTTGTCGTCCGACATGTCGATGTCGGTTTGCTGTTCGGTGAGCTGATTTGCAAGGATAAATCTGGGAATAGCTCCATATTTACTCCCCTCCCTCCTCCTACTCTTCGCAGTAAGTCTATATATCAGATAAAGGATCAGGTTTTATGTGTATATATGAAGAAGAAGAGGTAAAAAAAGGGTTAGACACAGTTTTTGCAGGTGAAAAATTCTGGGGTTTTCTTTTTCTTCAGATTTGGTGTTTGATCAAAGGGTTTTGAGGGGGAGGGGGAGAAAGAGAGATAGAAGGTGTTGAAAACGACACTTGATACTATACATACATTGCAGGAAAAATAATAAACAAAAGTAAAGAAAAGAAAGGTAGGCCTACTCCTAGTTTTTTTTCTCTCTATCCTTCCTTGCTTTGCTTTTGTGGATGTGATGTTAAAGGGAAGACACTGCTTTTGTGTTATTAATTTTATTATTATTTAAATAATAAAATTGATAAAAAATTATCTAAAATATTATAATTTATACCTAAAACATGAATGATTTTTAATAATTTTTATAAAATATCCAGCAATAATAAAAACGATAGAAATAATAATATTTTTAATAATTTTTTATTAATTTTTTATTTAAATAATAACAAAATTGATAATGTTTTTAATCGTATATTAAAAGTGTTGTATGTGATATTTTTCAAAATTAAAAGTTTTTTTAGGATGACAAAGAAATAAACAACCTTGATTGATTCCTTTTTACTACTACTCTTTTTCCTTTCTTTCTTTTTCCTTCCTTCTCTTTTAATAAAAAATTAATTATTTTTATGAAGATATATACCAATCCTCGAAAAATTCTACATTGTATATCGTATACCACAATATACCACTAAATTGAACGTATCACAAGAAAATTTATCCTTATTATGTAAATATTAAAAAGTATAAGAATTTATTTAAAATTAATCATTTATTAAAATTAATTATAATTTTAACTTATATAACTTAAAATCTTAATTCTAAACAAATTAAATTACTTAAATCAATTATTATTTTTAATAAAAATTACAATTAAATTATATTTTTTTATTAAAAATAATAATTAATTTAAGTAATTTAATTTGTTTAGAATTATGATTTTTAAATTATATAAGTAGAATCAGTTATCAACATCAGTCATCGTCGACGACCACCTTAACTCGTCAGAAAATCAACTGCTACAACATCCAGCGTTTCTGTTTGTCGTCGCCCAGTTCGTCGTCGCCCAACATTCGACGCTCCCGAAGGAGAAGCTTTGTCATTTGCATCGTCCATTTTTTTTTTCTTTTTTTTTACGCACGGTGACCTTTGAAGATTCATCCCTGACCGTCACCTATCCCAGCCATACCAATAATTCTAAATAAAATACAAATAAGGGGGGTGGAATGTAATTTTACCATTAAAGAAAACTAATGGAAAAGATGACCAGAGAATTGAGTGCGATGGACTTACACGCGGTGGCAATTGAGGATGAACGAGAACTAGCAGTCGTGGTTGGTCTAACTAGGATGAATTACGTCCGGAGATGATTCTTTGAAGGTCACCGTGCGTAAAAAAATTAAAGGAAAAACAAACATACGATGGCTAACGCAAAAGGTAGAGATTCTCCTTCAAAACGGTTGATTGTTGCAAACAGAGCGACCACAAACGAAAGCGCTGGATGTTGTAGCAGTTGGTTTTCCAGAGAGTTAAGGTGATCGCCGACGGTGACTAATGATGATGACTTGTTCTAACTTATATAACTTAACAATTGTAATTCTAGACAATTAAATTACTTAAATTAAGTATTGTTTTTAATAAAAATAATATAATTATAATTCTTTTAAAATTATAATTAAATGTTAATAAATGATTAATTTTAAATAAATCCTTATACTTTTTAATATTTACATAATAAAGATAAATTTGCTTGTGATACATTTCAGTACGTTGCGGTATGCGACGTGCGCTGTTGACTTATCCACCAATCCTCATATTTTAGTAAAGTTTAAAATTTGACATCGGTGATAAAAATGAAAGAAGTAGCATGATTGTTTATAATTTATCTATTTTAATTTGAATAAAGAATGTACGTTAATTAACCTTGAGTTCCTCTTTTACACCCTTATTGATGTTAAAAAGGAGGTTATTAAGAGACAGGGATGGAGCTAGGATCAAACGTTAAGGTGGGCAAAATTTGAAAAGAGAGCGGATGGTGATTAACCTTGAGTTCCTCTTTTACACCCTCATTGATGTCGAGAGGAGATTATCGAGAGGCAGGGATGGAGCTCGGATCAAATGTTAAGGGGTGAAAAATAGTTTTATATAAAAAAAAACAATTATTAAGAATTTAAATCTAACATCTGGGAAGGACAAAGACCTTATCTAACTACTATTTAAACTAAAAAAGACCTAAAATGTTATTATACTAAAAAATTTCGAAGAGGCAACTATCCCTCCCAAGCACCATGTAGATTTGTCCATGTCGAGAGGGAGAAAGAGGAATGATGTTTCTTTTTTTAAAGAGAGAAACCATCTATGTATCTTTTATCTTATGTGTCACGTGATGATACGAGATAAGAGAGAATTAATCTCTTATAATTGACATTTTTTTATTCTCAATATAAACCTAATAGTTGTTTAATGGTAAAATTATTAATTGTTTCTTTCAAGTTATTTTGGAGGTTAGATATTATGTCAATGAATTGTTGTAAGAATATAACTTGCATTTGATATTTTCAAAGGTTTATCGTTCCGGAATGAAATTTTAAATATTAACAATGACCATGATAGATTAAATTAAAAATATTAGATTTTTTAAATGAAATTTTCAGTAATACATTAATCTCAATTTTTGTTGAATTATAATGAATATTTTGACTTCTAATTTTAAATATAATAAAATTTGAATCAATACTTTTTTGTCTAAATGAAAGTCGAGTGACTTTTGTGCGACTCATATCATTCCGAATTAGTTAGGACGGAGCCATGATAGATTAATTGCTTCCCAGATTCTCTCAAGCTTTTAATCAATTTAATTAAACAAGTGAATTACATGTTTAGTTCTTTTGAAAGACTGGAACTGTATGGATTGAGTTTAATTTAATTGATATTATTGTTGGTACATTGTGTAAGAGCGCATGAGATCAAACATATTCAAATGTTTAATATTTTCTAATTTTGTGATGCTTATTAAGATTAGGATGGATATGGGATTCGGACCCAACAGATTTTGACTCGATATATATGATTGATTTTCTTTTAAATTCGGGTTTAAGTTGGATGAAATTTAGTTTTTTAAGAGTAAGAACGAGTCTGGTTCAATTTAAATATGAAAATCACTTATGCATATGAAGACTTTTCAACCATGTATTTATTTATTTATACATGCATTGTTTTATCTTGATTTTTTAATTTTCTGACTGTCGGAGGTCTTCTACGGAAGCTACTCTCAACCTGACGTTGGGGGCAACCTACTACCCTACCTCCCCTTTATCCCATTGCATATGAGAATAGGGTTTTGTTGTTTTTATTGTAACTCGACCTAAAATAATAATATAGTTATCATTTATATATTTAGGAATAATTGTAATATTACTAATCTCTTTATATTATTTCAATTAGATCCTTATTTTACTATTTACATACATCGTGTTAGGTCGGGTTAGGTACATATTTTTATCCAAAAATTGGGTGAGGTTTTGGATCGAGTAAAACCTTTCCAAATTCAAATTGAATCGAGTGAAAAGTGATAAGATAAATAATCAAAATGGGTTTAGGTAAGCTAAAATCCGACCCGAACTATATCCGTATCTAACTAAGATTCTTCAAATTGCTTAAATTGTCTAAACATTGCAGCATTGGTATTCCATTGACACCATTGATGGTGCCTAACTTTTTGATGGATGCCCCTAGAGTTGCACTTATTTTCATTAATGAAACTGTAAATCTTAGATTAATAATGTAAAAAGTTGAATTTCAGTAATAAATATATTACCCGACCCGTTTACAGCCGCAAATAAATAAAAAATATATTTAAAAGGCCCTAAACTATAACAAAGTTTATTTAATTAACGCATGTGCATTATTTTGTATATGTGATATGTCAGATTTGATGTGCTTTGAAATTTGAATGTCTGATGCCCCCAAATGCCCTGTGAATTATTGAATATTACTTACTTTGCCATCCCAATTTATTAATTTATATAAATATTATAAGAATGTGATTAAATTTATTAATACATATATTTATGTTTAATGATGATTAAATGAAAATAAAATAAAGTGAAATGTTTTAGAAACGTGAATGCCATTAATTAGGTTTAGCTGCTTTCGAAATTTAGATAAAGCTGAAGTTAACTTTTCACTTTATTATGAAAATCTTTATAATATATGCAAAGACTTTTAGGCAAATAAGGTCATTGTCTCCGAGTTATTAATTCAAAATTTTAATGTCATGCACGAACTAAACAATCTCGGTGATTAAGAAATTTATTGTTTTGTCGTAAGGTATTAGCTTCGATTGCTACATAATATCTTTTACAATCTGATTGATAGTCCTTTTAACTGATTCAACAATTTGAGTATATATTTCTCTTGCCATTATGTTGTTATCAACTCCCACCACAAAGCTCGAATCTATCGAACTTGTCTTTGGGGTTTACAACACTACATTCATTATCACAATTTTAATCTTTTTTTTTAGATTCCCAAACAAAATATTTGTTAATCAGGGAAATTTTATACTAATATATTTGAAATTATTACATAAATAATGTGAGGAATTGGATTGTCGTCTTTATTGAGGCATCTAGCTCCTTGTCCCAGGCCATCCATTCTCATTAAGATGTCAACAAATCCGACCTTGAGATCAACAAGATACCATAGACTGGGTTTCCATTGAAAAAGACATTTGCGTATTAAAATTCTTATCCATTGGAACCCGAGAAATAATACTGGCAGTGCAACCGGATCAAGCAGATTCGTGGTTAACTTGAATTTTCTTCCATGTAAATCTAACCCTAGCTAGGGTTCCCGACAGCATTGGAAACAATGTTCTAAACACACATATTTTACATGTATGTTACAGCTACCGACACCGAGAACAGAAATGGAAGACTGAGTTTTTTTGTTTTTTTCCTTTTGGTAGCAGATGAAATCATTACAGAGAAATCATTAAGGAGGGGATTAAAGTAATGGGGGTGAATGTCAAACCTATTCCTTGGGAATGAGAAATAGGGTTTTAAAAAAGGACATACATACGTGTTTTGAGGAGTAATTTTTATTTAAAAAAAATCTGGAAGCATCTATCTTGGTCAGGGAAATTCCATTTTTGTATTGTTTACTAATCCTTATCTTAGTTTTCCAAGGACATTGAGATCAAGCCCAAGGAATCTTACATTAATACCTCTTCTTGATTTTTTCCCGTTAAGTTAAATTTTATATTAAGAGACGAACTTATAAAATTTTAGAGGACGAAAATAAATTATTAATAAAAAATATAAAAAGTTTTAAAAATATATAAAAAATTTAAACATTTTAATAGCCCACTGTCGGGTTCACCTTTGATGCTCGGTATGCTTATTTGATCTCTTTGGAGTTCACATTTCATGTATACGTATAAGTGGACCTTTATGCATACGATAAACCCATGATTTTGCAACACACTTGTTCAGGTTCATTTCCAAGACTGCGCCTAAGAGGTCATTTGCCCTTAGAAGGCTGAATTAGCCATTGAAATTGATCGAAGCCCCAACCAAGTTAATTACGTCATTTGTCTTTCAATCATTGCTAAGTAAATAATACGCGCGCATGCAGTGCGTGTTAACACAAACATAACACAAAACAACAAGTTGGATGAATAGCAATAGCAACGCGTGTAAGGTCTATGTCACTTTACACTCAATAAGGTAAAGAACGGTGTCTTATAAAGCATAAACCCATCTAGAAACACTTCTCTTCTCAATGTGGGAGTAATTGTCTTTATTCTCTTAAGCATTACTAACAGAGACAAAAGAACTTGGACCAACAGGGACATGATTGTTCCAATTTAATTAAGGTCCCATATTTGAAATCTTGACACATGATCATATGCATAGGAAAATTTAATGGCTTCTATGAGTGCATTGTCAAATACAATTAAGGGGGAATGGATTACACGGGGGGTTTGAATCCAAATTCTTCATAGAAATATGTATATATATATTTTAAAAAGGTATGGGATATTATACGTTTGAAAGTATAATTAGTGGAAGAGTTGAATAATTAATATGCCCTATCCTTACAATGAAAGCGACTTTTGAAGGAGCACAAAGAAGAAATGATGGTGGATTATTTTTCCATCACGAGAAACACCAATATTCTTAAGGAACTTACCACACTTTAAAAAAGATGATTATCCCTTCAATCAAACCCACTTAATCACCCCTTTTCTAAATGAGTTAGAAGGTAGCAACATGTAGGATCATATTTGCAAATCAACATAATATTTTAAAGCAAAAGTGGAAACATTTTGAATCTTTTCCAACGACTTGGAGCAAAAGTGTACAAATCCGATGTGAAATTTGTAGATTTTGACAACTTATTTATTTTGATTTTGTTCCTTGTCTTTTCTTTTTCATTCTCATCCCACACGAATTTTCCTTGGTTTCACCTTGCACTCCACAACTTTTATTCTCTTGAAATTAAGGTGGGGAATGATTAGTGTGGGCATTGGCCCCACGAACCTTAAGCCACCTCAAATCCGATCACTCCGGAATTAATTGGCAGATCAGTCAAGGAAAAAAAGGGGTTGTAGCCGCCTCAATTTAATTAGATTTTATTTAACTTTTAATATAATTTCAATATAGTTAATTTTTTTTATTTGAAACTAAATAAATGTGGAAAAATATATATGAGGATAATAATAATCGATGGAATTTTCATCAAACCTCAAGGGTCTCTGTCTACTTCTAAAAAAATATTTAAAAAATGAATACTTTTATTGGATAAATCATTGACTATCTTTCAACAGCTTGAGTCAACTTGTATTAGAGTAACAATAATTTTTGAACTTGTTTCCTATAATTTTTTAACTTCTTAATTATATATATATATATATATAAGAGGAAAAAATACGATCAACAAAATAGCCATGAAAAAATTTAAAGCAGTGTGGTTTTACAATGTTGGTTGATTTTGAAAAACCAATAACCTGTTTTGATTATTATTAGTTTTTCCAAGTATTCATATCAATTGTAGCCAGCAGGGCCCATTGTTGTTAAAGGTTGCTGTCCAGTGTCATCTATGACACAAGAAACAAACAAAAGAGAGAAACTGTAAAGGTGATTTCTTGTAATGTTCCGTCGTTGTTGACTCTCAGACAATGGGGTTTTGGAAATGAAATTGTGTTACAGCGGTAAATAACGATGAGACTCTTTGCCTTTGGGTTGGGTAGAAAGAGTTCTTTTCATCGTCTTGCCGGAAAGAAAAAGGTCAGCGGAATCATTACTCTGCATTTTATTTAAACAGTATACAACATTCGCTACATGAAAAGAATAAAGAGGCTGGCAGGGGAAGCAGCATACGTCTAAAATGAATAAATTTACAAGAAAGTAAATTACACCAACCCAAATTCTACATTTTGGTAAGGTTGGTTCTCCTGCCATAGACAGAAAACACCTCAGGCGTGAGTTAGAACCGCAAGAATCGCTACTACGACGTGCAATTTGCCCCAGTTTTGGAGGCCTGCACAAAGAATAAAAATATTAATATCCTAAGCTTTGGTTAATCTTGCACTGCTGCTTCCTGAGCTGAATTCATCATTTGGAATTTCAATGTTGTTGTTAGAACTCCATTTAGAGGGAATGTAGCTCAATCCGAGTCCAGGGTCACAAACCATCAGTTTCTGCACACCTACAACTTCAAACCAGTCTGCTATATGAATCTAGATAAACTGGCCCTCTCACTTTAAGGCTCTTTGGACCAATCTCTGAAGGAGGTTCCCTCTTGCTTTTTCCTAACTCCTGCCGCAACCCATCATTTCGGTGGTGCTCTTGCTGCCTGCTCATTTCCGCCTCACCCTCCAGCTTCTTATACTTGATGGAAATGGGAATGGGAAGGGCAACTCTTCCAAACCTGTCCTTCACATCAATATTTGGAGCTTCTTTACAATAAGAACTGCGATTAATATTGCGATTTGGTTGGTCATGTCTACAACATTCGGATTCAGATGGCACTGGCTGCTCACATCTTCCTTCATGTTGGAGTTTCTTTAACCGTTTGAACCCCTGCCATATGGATAAATGGTGTCAGGACAAGATACAAAACGATGGGACATTATCCAAATTGAAGACAATCAATATAAAAATGTGGAAACATAACCAACGGTTTTAATTGTAACTAATTTAATGCCAAGTCAAAAACTTGTTTATTATCCTCTAGCGATCCATCAAAAACTTCACTAGAAAGCACGTAACTGATGAGATGCTTATTGAAAAGTAAATCGATACTAGGGGCCAACCGACGAACAACTACCACCCAACAGAATGATAACTGGCCAATGGAAAAGTAAAGAATACAGTCTTCCATTCAACAAAAAGGGGAAATTTAAGCACAGCAACAACATGATTTGAAATCTTGCTCAGTTACTCTTTCACTTTATCTCTAAAACAAAAAAGATAAGTAAAGATAATTATTGTCAAAACCCAATATAAATCCAACTCTCTCATGCCTGAAACTATTGTCATGCAGTTGGTAGTTTGTCAGAAATTAAGCAGATTATCAGTGGCACGAATCAGTTTGTGCACCTTTTAGTAGGGGAGAAAAAGCTTAGACTTTAAAATGTTAGTGAACAGCGCTTCTATGTAAGGGATGGAATTACACATTGACTTCCCTAACATCTTAAAATCTCACCTAGATTGTCCACGGGCCCAATGATAAGTCAAAGCTAAAATAAGGTTCTTTACATAGTCAAATAACTTGTAGTAATTGCATGAAGAAATTGCATCAAATTAATCTCAGCTTTTTAATCAAATAATAATCAGATAGTTTTCAAAATGAAAATAAAGGCATCCCTGATAAGTTTAGTAACTTTATAACAGACATAAATATAACTATGGAAAGCTAAAATTATACCTGTTGTTCTGAGTTCTTTGATGACATGGTGTCATTCACAAATCTCTTCTCAACCTTCAAAAAGGAAGGCCGTTTAACCCTAAATATCGGTGAATCAGAACTATCGCTGTCTCCGTCCATTATAGACCTATTAACTGGTTTATGAACATTATCCAGAAGGATACTTGGATGATCTTCACATGACAGACAAGAAGCAGATGATTCTTGTCTATTTTCTGAGACTTCTTCTGGGAATCTTTTACCAATCGCGCTTACTTGGTTAGCTACCCTCTGTACCTGCTTTGAACATATAGCAATTGTCACTTAGTGCAGGAGCAGGAGCAGGAGCAGAGACCAACATATAATTCATGTGTCAGACTAAGAGATTCAGCAGGAAGAGAGCTGGATCTTACATTTTTTGGTGAGGATCCAACTTGCTCCAAAATGGTAAAAGGAGTTGATGTGGCAAAAGAAGAGAAAGCATCAGTCAGCTCAGTTTGAATTTTTCCGGAGTCCTGGTTCATAGAAGATATATTTCCTAGAGGTTCACCCGTTGTATTTATTGAAGCAATCTCAGGACTCAATGCAACATTAATCTCACAGTATGGGAAGTATAAATCCTCTACATCAGTCTGTAACTTAGTTGACAGTGGATAAAAATACAAGTCATCACCATTTTCAGGTTGTTGCTCAATTTCTTTTGATATGGCATCATCTTGCTCAAACTTCTTGGCAGCAGCTTCCATCTCTCCAACATCAACCCTCAAGAAAAGACCATAATAGCTCCCACAGGGGAAGTCTAGTGACTTGATACCTGCAGAAGGAAAACAGGCTCATAATAAGACAATCATAATCAAAGGGAAACTACCAAAACAAAGCAGGATCCGGGATATACTACCATGTCGCAGGCAAACAGGATGAGCGTAACAGCTGCAGTTAATGAAAGCAACATAACAATCACGTTTGCATAAAGTGCAGACGATTGTTCTATAATAATTTGGGGATATACTGGCGCATGCCCTTGATTTCATGACAGACCAACGCGCCCGGTGCAGGAAACGCATCAGCTTTACGAATGAAAGCTTGATGCAATGATGAGAGGCCAAGTCTGCCGGTGAATAATCCAAATCTTCCAGTTCTAAACCTGTATACAGAAGCATAGCTTCTTTGCAGAGAAGTTCCTCATGCGGAAGGAGAGGAACCCTGCTGAGATGTGCATAGCGCAAGCTAGCTACAGCCCCCAAAGGAAACCAATCACCGATAGCAAAATTCACAGCCTCGCCACAGTTGAAACCTAAACAATTATAGTTAGAAACATGTTCATTAACTCCGAACAAGCAAATAAGAAGAAATTAAGTAAATATGACTTACCATGACTGAATCCAGCATGATATGCGCTTGGAAAAGTAATTACGAACTCTCCAGGCTTCTGCACAGCCTTGTAGACAGGGACATCATGTTTCAGCAAAATACTTGGAGGAAATAACGTTGTTTTCCCCAAAAGCGCATCAAAAGCTCCATCTTCGCCATCCACAGATAGGATATCGTTAGTGTACACATGATCTTTGACAACCTTCTCAAAATTTAAAGCAGCGTGACCAGGCACGCTGTACCAAGTTTTTGAAGCCCCACAGTGATGATAGTTAATGCTGCCACAAAATTAATAAGAAAAGGATTATATATAGAATACTAGCAAAGAAAATAACTGAAAAGGAAATTAATGTTTGATAACATTTACCTATACAAATAGTGATCTTCCACATGCCAGGCAAACATACTAAATAGCATTCCTATGTAAAGCATAGGATCAGTTACTCCCTGAAAAAAAGACGGTTCAATCAAATAAATGTGAGCATATCAATTATTTGTAGGTATATAGTGCCAAATTTATATTAGGATCATTTCGATACCGGGATTGCTGTTTCAAGAAGGCGCAAGGTGGACTTTTGTAGCCGTGAGAATAGCTGAAATCAAACAAAAGTATATAAAAAACAAAAGAACCAGAAGCTAGAACAGAGACGGAGAATTCTGGGAACTATACAACATTACTTTATCTTAATAATACTGATAAACAATACAAACAACTTCCCCACTTGAAGCAGACCTTGGCAACCAAGAAATAGAGAGGTATCAACTCTGTTGGACCCTCACAGAATCATTTTTGCAACAGGAAACATCTAAGATATCACCAAATAGATACTGATGGAAAGATTTATCAAACTAACATAATGGTTGCTAAGGCTGCTTTACCTATCTCCATAATATGCGCATATGAAGCCATAGTATCAATCTTATTCCATAGCATCTCATAAGGTTAAAATTTAAGACCAAATCTATACTTTAGTTTACTATGGCCAGTCCAATACAGTTTTATTAACAGGAAAAATCTTTTAGACAATTTTTTTTTGGCAGGAAAAGAGTTTGTGATTCTTTGTTTACACACAAGCGTAACTTATGCTACCAACTGCCATTGGGGATTTGATTTCAATCCAACACATATGAACATATAAACTTGTTACACTTTATGAAGCAGTGTGATAAGAGAGGATCAAAGAGAGCAGAATCTAGAATAAAATACATGAATATACAATAAAATGACTCAAGAATGAGATCAATCACCTATGCAAAATAATATCTATTGTAGTTTTCTTTTCTTTTCTGTCTTTGGTAAAATTAAGTAAAACAAAGCCCTACAAGAAGCATTAAAAAACAAAAGTGAAGATATGATAGTACTGAAATCAACACCTCTAAATTCCATTTGCTACTTCCAAGTGGATCACTGGGAGAAGAAGAAAAGGCACTACCCTCAACATCACAAGCATATTCAACACTTTCTGTCTTCCCATAAGCAATTTCATGCCAAAATTCTTTTTCCAAGTATGTTGCGGAAAGACAACCAGCACTATAATATCTACGAGTAAACACCTTGTTCGCCATTCTCTCGAAATCACGAAATGTATAATTTCTGAAAAGTCACGCTAACATTCAAAACCAGAAAGAAAAAAAACTGCAGGCACAAAAATAACATCTGTTTCAAGAGAGTGAGCTCACATTCCACTCATGAAAAAGGTGATTCTGTCATCAGTATCCCACTCGGCAAGACGAAACGGCTGTACTCTAGTTGTGAACTTGAAGCCTACTTTCTCCCTCATCAATACAACTCCAGCTGGAACAGTAGCAACCACAGGGGAAACAATCTTGCAAATACCTAAGGAGCATATACTCGTAATGTTCCATTATTTATTAATAAAAATGTAAAGAGACAATCTTTAGAAAATTTCTTTCAAAATCCAAACATTTATATCCCTTCTTTACTTGGATTTTGTAATATCATCATATAGAATGTTTCATATACCTTCACCTAGGGGTAGAAAGAGGGAGGATATTCAAATAGTTAAAGATAGAGAATAAAGGTGTTACCATATCTCGAAGCTTCGGGAGCTATCTTCTGCAAATAAACCAAAGGATCTTCAAACTCTTCCTTTGTAGGGCAGTACACAGGACATTCTGGAATTTTTTCAGTCCATTCTAGATCACAAACGTCAAACTTATCAACCTTGTGCTTAGAAAAGACATCCTTCTCACATGAAACACCATTTGACCTAGAAAATGACTCTGCAATCCCTTGTAACCTCACTCCACATGATGCTGAAACTCTCAAAGCATCTCCTCCACTTCTAGCCATCATACTTATGACATCAGAAGCTCCAGAGACAGATTCTGATTTTATCCGTTGAAGCCTTTTATGCTTCAATAATTCTAACCCATTTTTAACCTCCTTGGACAACGCACCCTTCATTCCACCTATAAAAATAAGCAGATAAACACGTTTAGAAAAACCACTTTTATAGAAGCATACTTGAGAAACACATAGTAACAATACAAAATTAGCCTACAAAATTAGCCTTTATGTTTATCATATAAAATGTTATATTACACTTTTCAATTGTGTCGGCACCTAATTGATATCCAAGTGACCTACACGCACGTCCGTGCAGCTATAATATTTATAATACACTACATGCACACAACAAAAACCATTAATTTACAAAGTATTCAATTAGTGATATTAGTTCAGACTCTGCAGAAGTCTAACTACGATCAGCTTGACTAATGGAAAGCATAGATTACAGAAGAGCTTTTAAAAAAAATTGTCCCACGCTTCCAGTATTTAGTTTGCGCCATTCTCTTGCTAAAAATAAGTGGGGAACTATTGTGGTCACACAAACAAAGATCTTTGGATTTCAGAGCGATAAGTCTGGGAACAAAATTAAGGTGCAAAAGCGCAATCCAGTCCACGCGTATACAACAACAGCTCAATAAATTTTAATGAAAGAGCACCTACAGCTATGATAACCGAAAATTGGAACCAAATTCATTCAGAAATGATAATAGAAACAATAAATTTAGTAACATGCATAACCATTTGTACCCAAAACTGAGAACGTGAAAGCAAAAGGCCCACGCCAATCTGAACCAAGATAATTTCTAAGGCATAAGAAGGTTGAAGCTTGGCTGAATCTATTCAAAGACCCGATAATAGATTAAATTCTACAACCAATTTCTCCCATTAAAATCGTGCTTCAAAGGTTAATGACCAGTTGAAATCATCGTACTTAACATATGCCACAAAAATAAAGTCAAAATTTGAGGAATTCGTAAAGCCAATTAAAAACTAGAAAATTTAAACAATAATACACTGTATTACTGGATCGACTTTTTTAGGTAACAACAGTATTAATGGAAAAAAAACACTCAAAAGAATTTTATCAAATTTTACCTACAATTTTACATAACGTAGGGAGGGAACGGGGGAAATTCAACAAATACACATGTGAATTCTCTTATTATTAGGAAAACAAAGCATTTATCATTCTGCTTCTCCACGGAAATTAATTCTGATATAACAGATAAAAAAAATAAGAAAAAAGCTAAGGAAAATCTGTCCGATCCAAAATGCATGATTTGTGGTGGTTATTGCATGAAACTTTTTTTTGAAGAGGAATAACTTTTCTATATTTCAAATTGTAATTTCTGCATTTTTAAAAGATGAGAAAAAAATGTATGAAACCAGAAAAGTAAGGAAAAGTTAAGAAACGGTTTCAAAATTAAAACATTGTCAACAAAGACAAACAAAATAAAAAGAACCGGGACAATTTTCATAAAAATAAAAAATAGAAAGAACTCAACAGAAGAATTAGCGTACCATCTCAGGCCGCAATGATTCTTTGCGCGCCACCGTTTTGCCGCGATTCACCAAAACGAACGATCCAATGGGAAAAAAACGCAAAATGAGCAAAAAGCAGAAACTAGGTCACGATCTTCAGCATTTGCTATCAAACCAGAGCGTCAAACGTCAACCGAACTCGCCACATTCTCACAACGAGCCGCGCACTCAACCGGACCTGGTCAAACTCGGAGATCCAAATCTGAGTCACGACCCAGCGAACAAGACTTCCTTAGTCGGAGAAATAGCTGTTGGCGGAGGAGGGAGGCGGTTTTCCGGCGAAGGTAACAGAAACAATAAATGAGAAATGGAGAGAGAGGGAGAGAGGAAAAGGAAAGGCTTAGAAAAACAGAAAAGAACCGCAAGTGGATAATTTATACATTTTATACTCAAATGTTAATGCTTTTCCCTCTAAATATTACAACAAATAAATGAAATAAAAATGTAATTTAAAAGATTAATTAAAAGGAAAAGTGGTTGTTCTTTACTGGTTAGGTGTTTCAACCAAACGCCTTGCTTGCCGGCGAAAACGCGCTTTTTTCGTTGGCGCGTTTATAAGGAACCTTCCATTTTTGTCTTTTTTTTTCCCTCCCCGTTACCCTTGGATACTGTGAAGAGCTTTCTTGTTTCGGTCAGAGAAAAGAAAGTGTAAGGAAAATGGCATAATCACGTGTACTCAATTACAGAAACTAAACTTACTTAAATTAAATCCGGCCATCAATTGAACCTAATCATGACGATTAACGGTCAAAAACAAAAAGTAACGAACTCTGAGGATTCGGCGTCTTAGCTGGCCTGTAATTGTTGTTGCTTTTGAACAGCTGAGTTGTACACTAACAGTCTCCTCTCCTACCTTTCTTCTGGCCTAGCTTTTCTATTTCCAATTTTTATTTGAAAATTAAAGATTTTTATTCGATTTTGATCAATTTTAATATTTGATCATATTTTATTTGTTTTTAATTATTTTTTATTTTGGTTTAAAAACTGATTTTTGACTACATCCAATCTAAGTAATTTTTTTATTCAATAAAATAGAAGGATTATTAAATTTGTATAGAGGTTTTATGGCAAAAAATACTCAAATAATATTGTGGAAAAAGTTTCTTATATAATAATTACATTGTTTTATTTTTTTCAAATAAGACAGTCTCTATAATGTTGTAAAGAAATCATATGGATCATTTGACGTCTTTTACGAAGATGTACGAAAGATTCGATGTCTTCTCTCAATATGCATGCATATATGCAAGCAACAAGATTACAGTTTGAACAGTATCTTTCCAAAGATGATGTGTAATTTTGACATCTTTAAGAAGTCGTCAAATAATCTAGTCGTCTTTCATAATGTATTGTAATAATAATCTTATATGAGAAGATAATTTTTCAGCAACGTGAGAAAAATATTTTTTTCAACTACAATATGTAAAATAAATTACCGAACTTCTAAAATAATAATTTTCAACTATTTAAATTTAAAATAAATGTGTAAAATCCAAGCTTATTATTTGTCGGGAAGTGACTTTCTATTAAATATTTTCATGTAACTGCCGCAATATAAGTACAACATAAATACTCCATTGCTCAGACCAACCAATCTGCTTCGGGTTTACGCTTTTGTACTTTTACCAATCCTCGACAGCTGTCGAAATCAGGCAAGCTCAAATACAATATCAAAGTTTCTTTTGGTAAAATCCCGAGTGTAGTAGGTAACGTTGCGATTCTAGAAAGTTCTCGAATTGACGAAAATGCCTGCGTCAACAGTGCGAAATCACATCAATACCCAAATGTCACTTTCACATTTTTACTTTATGCATGCAAATATAATAATTAGATAAATTGTAAATAATTTATTTTCTTAATAAAACACTATTTATTGTCAGAATAATATTAAGAAAGTTCAAGTTAACTGTGAGGGTATAATTGATGGAGTAACATATTTTTGGGTAATAAAATTTGACCACAAAAAGGTAATATCGAGCACAAGCAAGGCATGGGACCTATATTTAGTTAAAGTTGGATGAAACTTTTTAGTGTTGGGTAGGCCGTAAGTCGGTAGATAGTAGATACACTATGTGCATTTCATAGATTTTATGATGCCGTCTTTAATGATCACCGTCACTTAACCTTGTTCAGTCCAATCGGCCAAATTTATAAAAAAAATACATTTTAATTTATTAAAAAATTGAATAATCTAAATTGATTTCAAGATAATATTAGTTACGAGAAAGTAATTACACGACACAATGATTTTATTATGTCATTTCTCATTTATTTAGTATTATTATTGTGCTAGTAAATACTAACGTCTTTTTTATAACATTATTTAATTAACAATAACTATAAAATATAAGATACTATGTCCGTTAAATAATACGTAGAATCTAAATATTAACTATATATCAAAATAGATTATATTAAAAACATATCTATTTCGGATTAATTAAAATCATACGATAAGAATCAAAGGGTGATGATAAGGTTCCTTTAAAAGATACAATAAAGGCCAAAGCTTTCTCTTGAACCAAACCAATACTATTTGTTTAATTGGTATGTCTTTCATTTTTGTGCGTCACATTCTCAGTGGTTGATTCCTCGAGGGATCTTTTCTCATATCATATGTTATATATACACATCACCATCTTACCTACTATTCTCTTCATCCGCGTTATTTTTCCAATCCAACAACAATAATGTCAACAAAGGCCATTAATTTAATTAAACAAAATCTTATGGATAAAATTTAGTACCGTTTACTTGTAAGTTCAGACCCCGAATTTACGTTGGGAGGTAAACTTATAAAATTTTAAGAGATGAAAAATTTATAAAGTTTTATATAAAAGAATTAAAAATATTATAATTTGAAATTTTCAAATGAACACGACCCTCAACCACCCATCTATCTATTTTTAGGGTAAAATATACAAATGGTCCCCTGATTATATAACACTGTTTTATTTAGTCTTTCGACTATTATATGTTATAAAATTGTCCCTTGACTGTACGATGTTGTTTTGTTGAGTATCTCGACTATTAAAGTTAGAAAATGGTCACTTGAATATTCATATGCTCCAAACTCCTCCCTTTTCCGTTAAAAATTTGACTGCAGTCTGAGCTGGACGTTAACTTGCTGACTGATATATGATAAAATATTATCTCATAATCTCAAACGACTATCATATCTCAGTTAGTATGTTAACGTCTAGCTGAGACGATTGTTAATTTTTTAACAAAAAGGACGAGTTTGGAACATAATGAATAGTCGGGTGATGATTTTGTAACTTTTAATAGTAGAGGGACTCAACAAAGTAACACCCTATAATCGGATGACCATTTTGTAACTTTTAATAGTCGATAGACTAAACAAAGTAATATCTTATTATCCGATGATCATTTGTGTACTTTAGCCTTTTTTTTATATGAATTAACTGAATTCTATATTGCGCAAGGTGAGCCCCCAACCAATCAAAATCGTAGAAGGCAGATTATGCAATAAAAAGTTGATCGACCAAATCATGTATCAAAATATGAATTAGTGGTGTACATATCAGCTAAATACAGCGTGTTATGTGTCATGTCGTGTCCCTATGGTGGGGACACGATCACATATAATGATTATAGATATTATAATCTAAAATTTAGATTTATAGTATGTAATATATTTATATAAATTAATAAAATTAAATTTTAAATTCAGAAATTAATGTTGCATATGACCATGGCTTGAAAAAAAAAGTCAAAGCTTGAACAGAATATTTATAGATATGAATTGATTTACGTAATTGATAGATTCCATGTGCCTGCATTGATAACAACGTTTAAAATATTGTAAGTTGGGATCCTCCTTTGCATCATGAGCTTATGGGTTAAAATATTTGTAAGTTGGCGTATGATAATTGATAGAACATGTGGGTGGTTATGCGGTGCGACGCCTAAAAAACGGCTAATATACGGCGTGACCGGTTAAACAAGTGACCGGTTAAAATTTAGACCGGTTATGTTATATTATTTAACCGAAAATATTATAAAGTACAATAACATACTAGGTAGCACTTATATAATGTAATAGGTAGCGCTTATATTTACCTATTTTATAAGTAAACCGGTATATTTATACCGATAGCATTGCAAATTTACCTATTACATTATATTATATTTAAAGTGTCCATACTTTTTATAAAAAGGATCGATACTTTAACAGTGTTTCATGTTTTCTACCTACAATATTAATTTAATAATTTCATTTGCACAAAAAATTATTTGATTGTTTTGATATTTTATAAAAATATTTAGAATTTTTAATTTAATAATATATATCGTAACGTAAAAAATAAATCATTAGACGCCTATAATTACTAAATTAATATCTTAAAACTCACTCAAAAGATAACCTTAAATTAATGTTTTCCACAGTGAAAAAAGTATGGACACTTTTATAAAAAGGATAGACACTTTACAATATAACCACTACCTATTACATTATATAAACGATACCTATTACATTATATAAGGGCTACCTATCACATCATATGTTTACCTATTATATTGAAAGTGTCCATACTTTTTATAAAAAGGATCGATACTTTTTTTAAAACTTATGTAATTTATGTTTCAATTTTTTTAACAGTGTTTCATGTTTTCCACCTACAATATTAATTTAATAATTTCATTTGCACAAAAATTATTTGATTGTTTTTATATTTTATAAAATAATATTTAGAATTTTTAATTTAATAATAATATATATCGTAACGTAAGAAATAATCATTAGACGCCTATAATTACTAAATTAATATCTTAAAACTCACTCAAAGGATAACCTTAAGAACACTTGAAGAAGCAAGAGAACAACTATCCAAGCAATCAAAAACGAGAAAATCCCAACATGATAACAACTGAACATATCATATCAATGTTCAAACTCAAGTTGTAGATTTTGATTTCCTTTTGCTTGGCATCATATGAGATTTGGATTTGGATTTCCTTTTGCTTGGCACCATATGAGCTTTGGATTTTGATGAGCATCGGAAGTATTTCAGACTTATGATTTGGGTGGTACTCAACTTATGATTTTAGTTGCTATTTGTTACATTTCTTGTATACCACCCAGATCATACGCCCGAAACGTTTCTGACGCTTTAAAGTTGACCAAAAAATAAAATGGTCGGGATTTCCCTCGCGTTTATACGTTGGAAAAAAAACAATGGAAATTAGGAATAATCAATGATAACATGCATATTGGCTTGGGCTAATATTTATAGTGGAGCCGAAATATATATTGAAATTCAAACTCAAATTGAAATTTAAATTCAAACTCCAATTACATATGAAATGAATTTGAAATGCAGTGTTAAATTGAACATGAAAATTGCATAAT